GTCTTGAGGGAATTCGTGCCAACTGCCTTTAAGTGCGCGTAAAACTGAGTGTGCAGGATTGCCGGGTGCACACCGTACAACAGAATCTTCGCAAAGACAGTACCTAGCCGTAAAGCTGAATCAGCTTCGCTGTCGATTCCTGGAGTTACCCTGGTGCTGTACTCTCTGCAACGAAAGCAGCTTACGGTATGCCCAGTTGTGTGCGTTGAAGGGGTTTACATTCAAGGAACACGTCTGATTTGACGCACAATTTCAAGGGGTACTGTATCGCGCCTGTTTTTCTAGACTTATAATCTTGTAAAGCGCATGAATGTCGTTGCTATCTGATTTCCTGGGAATGCGCCATGCAAACCAATTGACACGAAAATCATAGACATTTCTAGCTGCCTTCTGTCTTACTATAACCTGGATAAAAACCTTTATGACCTGTTTTTTACGACTTTTCGAGTAACATTTCGTCTCAGGACACCTACTACGATGCGGTGGATACGTTGGAAATGCTAGGAATGGAAGAAGCCATGAAGAGTATGATGAAGTTGTCGAACAACGAACTGCTCGAGCAGTGCAGGTTGTACGAACGTGAGCTGAGCAAGGAGGATGAACGAGCTGAAAACAGTGACGATGACGTCAATGCACGCATGAGGTACGTTCATCTACGTGAAATTATCCGCCGACTTCCGTTTTCCCTCCGCTCAGACAAGCTGGCATCCTGTCAGCCGCGCGTCCAATCGCTCCCGACCATCTCTTTGTCAGGTCTTGTCGCCTTCGCCCGTTTACCTGCAACCGGCCGCTCACCTTCAGTTTCCGTTTTGAGAGTGAAAATTCGTTTCAGGCTTGGTTTCAAAGCAAATTTTCGTTGTACGTCAAAGTTGTTACAGTACCTAACAGGTAGCAACTTTGACCTACCCGTTTGCTTCAAAAAACCCGTTTTTTAATAATTCCGCTTCCAATATAATACCGTAATTTGCTTGTAGTCCTACCTTGCATGAAGAATATTGGATGCAGTTCGTCTAAGAGGGGGGCATTCTGCTCTCGCTGCTTCCCGTGTCGTGTTCATTGCTTTACAGGAGTTGACAGGTATTCTTGACAAGAGTTGACAAGTAGTTTCCACGAACGTTGACTGGTGTCTTCATGGCTTCACAAGATTTCACAAGCCTCCCCTCGACGGCTCGACACGACTATGGGACGCACTGGAAGTGCAAAATGCTCCCCCCTAGCCGAACTGCGCCGAATGTTGTGTGCATTAACATTTTTTTTTGAAATTTGCTGTGTGTTGTTTAGAGGTGGTACTGTAATGACGACAACGTCACGACGACGATCCAGCACCTCAAATGTCAGCCCTACCCAGAAGACGCACACCAACAATCTGCCACGTCTCAATGAATCTTCTTCTCTTTCAAGCCCCCTTCAATCCAATCCGCCACCGTCTTTCCCTTCTCCATCCAACTTCTCACCTCCTCCTGAAACTCAGCCCTATCGCCCCACTAACGGCTGGTCCTACACTGCCATCCCACCACGAACTCCCGCTACTAACGGAGTCCATTTCGAGAACGATGAGGTCAAAAGGACGAATGGACTGCAAAAGGAACCGTCACGGGGGGTGGCTGAAAGGGATACTGACCCAGCAAAACCTTCTCGAATGCAGCCAGATCCAGAATCTGCGACGACAATCAGCGCACCCAGCATGGAAAGGTGTGTGCATGGTGTTTCTATTGAACTTGTAACTCATTTTTGGTTTCTAATAGCTCGTGTGATGTAGGAATAGTGCTATTAAAATGCATTAAAAGCAGTGGGCACGATGACAGGGGGCGGGCGGTCACTGCCAACTTACATAGGCACAGTTCGCGTACCGGCAATTGAAGGGAACGAACTTCAAAATAGGCCACAGAAAAAGTGCTGAAGTATAATGATCAAGGGAGAAAAAGCAGCGTGAAAAAGCGTCGCGGAATTATAGAGAAAATAACATAGTGGCTAGTAGCTAGTAGCTAGCAGCCGGTGAGGGTCGGCATGGGCCTAAGGGGTGTCCATGGGCCTAATTAGTCATTGCCTTCAGTGCGGTTCTTGTCGTTCTCAACATTTGAAAGTACGAGCTCAAAATATCGCTTCCGGATCGTCCGACACATTTGAGAGGTCATGAGCCTATTGTCAACGCGGAAATGTGCCTTACTGTGGAGCCGGCTGAGCATGTGCCGACACGCCTCTTATCGTTAGCCCCTCCACCACACATCCGTCGTTGGCAGCAAACAACCAACTCCAGTCATCGTGGGCCTCTGCTTTGAATTACAAGTGTGGGGACACGTTAAGCGGATACATGTATCTTGAACTGCGCGTGAAATTGATGGCATAGGGCGTCTGGCAGCACAGCACGATAAGTTTCCATCCTGATTACAGGTGGATCGGGAATTTTTTTCTTAAAGGATCCTCCCGCGAGCGGCTTTTCCAATCTTGCGTGAAGCTTGACACATAGTTTCTGCCCCATTGGTACTCATTACATGCTCCGGCCCTAGAACCTCCACCTCCTTTATGTCGCGACACAACTCTACCTTCCATCGTTAAAAACGTTTTTACATATATACAGAAAATGTCATACTAAAATTTTTACACAGTCATATAATTATTTCAAAACAGTTTCCATCTGTTCTCAAACATAGAACCTGAATACACTTCACTATGTAGTACACTTGACTCGCGCCCCCGACGACTCCGCCTCACTTATATTGACTTACCAAAAATTCGACACTTAAACTTTACTCCCAGGGTCCGGCTTGAATGACGCCTTTCACATAATAAATAATTCCTAATCCCTTCATATATATATCTACAGTTGAAGAGCAGCGAATTCACAAGTACCGTACATATCTCCAGCCTTCTCGGCGCACGCCCGCTTTTCAGACACTTAAGATTTTTTGACGTATTAATTAATTAAGTTACGGACGCTTTCCCGCCTTTCGTTTCTGACCTTCATGCCAGCCATGCTTCGTCCCCATCGACATGTGCAAAAGGCGTTTATATAGCGCTGGAACAGAAGTTACCTAAACATGAAAGCATAGACCGATTCACGGAATATGAAGAGTGTGTTCGTACACAAACCCAACACATTATAATTTGTTGCGCGTCAATTTGGGATACTGTATACGGACGCTGTCTCTCCAAATACTTGTAATCTTGCACGGAGATAGGGAAAAGCGAAACGCCTTCTGGTTTTTATGAGAGTGCTGGCTAAATTATCCTTGCTGATTGTCACGGTTTCAGAAACTTTTTTCCCCCTTTTGTTTTTTCGCCGAAACAAGCCATGCAATGAATCGGATCGTCCGTCGGTGTAATGCGACGGACGACATCAATGAAGCTGCGCAAAACGTCAACGAAGAGCATTATCGCGGTGCCCAAAGTCGAATCTTCTCGCTAAAGAGCAAGTACGTATCTGTAAAGCCCCGTTAGAGCTTTAAGAGTGTTATAAATACGAAACCGGGAGAAAAACACTCGCGGTTTGAGCATACGTTGATGGAATGCGGATCCACGCTGATATGTGGCGCCGAGCACGCGGGGAGCTACCATTGTCAGCCTCATGGCGCATCCTTCTTATTCCTTGAAAAGAAAGGGCGCACCAGTGAACGCGGGGCATACTGGTACATTTGGCTCCGTCCTTACAGTCTTCTTGGGCGATGTCTTCGTAAAAAGCCGTAGTTATCGTCGAACGGCCAGTAAAAGTAGATCTATGAACCTCTTTTTACATGACGTGGGTCTCGTGGGGTCAAACCGCGACGCTCGCGCAAATATGCGACTTGTCGCGCGCGGCCTATTCGAATGCGGTTATCGATCGTTTTTTTGCGCAATGCTCGTGTATTGGTGTACCTAGCATACCTTTCCTCGTATTTTCTTCTTCTTTGCAACTGCTCCACTTCCTTTTTCCCTTTTTCGTTCACCTATAATGAGCTGTTATTGCCCCCCCCCCACCACTCCCCTCCACAGTATTTACTTTCAAACAACTATTTTTTTGAAGACAGTGGGTGCGATGGTTGGGGCCGAGCGGTTGCCGCCAATATCAGTGGTGGAAGGGCTGCAAGAGGGCGTCTGATCACACCCCACCCAGCCCTTCCACCAATGACGTTGGCAGTAACCCTCCCCCACCCCTCGTGCTCCACTGCTTTTGACTGCTTCTCCATTTCTCCTGACTATGGCGGACCTCTTGAGGGGTGGCCCATTTGTTCTGAAACGCCTAGCTTTTGGGCACTGGCGGTACACCCTGTGCTCATTGTGTAGGCTCAAGAAGCGATCCACCTTATTGATTGGTCCTTTTTCTCTGCCTCTTTTGGCTACACCAATGAGAAGTGCCCAGTTCTTCTTCGTCTCCGCCCATTCGGATATTGCGAAATATGCCTTCAAAATTTATTCCTCAAGCTCTTTCACCACCACATAAGATGACGCAGCCCGAGAAACTTTATCCTTTCCTTCTTTTGATAACCCTATAAGAGAAGTACTAAATTACAAGAACTGAATAAATTTATTCTCGCTGATAAAGGCCCCGCTATCAGTAGTGTGGCGATATCGGCGCATTTTGGACAAGTGGAAAAAGGTGCGGTGACGTTACGGAGACGCAGGATGCCAGGTGGCGAATGGTGACTAAAGTCTTCCTATCTTCCACGTTTTCATTGACCAGCTTCTTTTCGGTGGTCCACTAACCGTTTCCTTTTGATGTCAATTCCAACTTCTTTAGGGGCTGTTCTACTTAGGAGGGGCATTTGGCATTTCGCTAGTTCCTATTAATTGACACTTCGTCTCTTGATGAGACCCGTAGGCTCTTGTCAAGTGTAAACGAGGCTCGTGCTACTGCATAGCTTCACGGACGGAATAGACGGGTTTTCATCTTTACAGAAGGCATAGACGGTAATCGATAGGAACCAGCAAAGTGCCCCCACCAAGCCGAACTGCTCCCTCCTTTATTTTGTGATCATGTACAGTGAAATTTAATCGGTTGGAGCCAAATTTAGAGAAATATTTGTGGTGTTCTCATACTCTCTGCCAGCTACGGACTCTCCTATCCGAGCCAGAGAACCTAACGTCAGGGCCCGGCTCAGAACTGAAAAGAAAGTAGATTTCGTAAAGACTATTAACAATGCCATTGAACTGTAAAATATTTCTTAA